TAACAAAGTAATCCTGGAGAAGCAACTTTTATTCTCACCCAGAGTGGAATAGAAACAGTCCTGGATGTCATCTTTAGCTATGCCTGATTTCTTTTTGAAGGGACTAAAAAAAAAAAAAAAAGAAAATAGTCTTTCCATAATTCTGTGGTGTTCTTTATTTCCAGTCTGTCCCTGTAGTAACACTGAAGTTACTCCAGGCTACACGCGACTGTGGCCTGCAAGCAGTTAGCTGTGCCAAGCACTTAGCTGTGCACTCCCCATGAGCGCTACCTACGCCAGCAGCCTCCTACACTCAGGCAGAAAGGTCCACATATTTTCCTGACTGCTCTGAGCATCAGACATAACCCCTTGTCTCTTGCTGTCACTTTTGAATCACACTGCTGCAGCTCTAGTTGTTATTCTGGACTAAAACCACTGTAATTTTCACTTTTTTTTGCACTCTCAATGTGGCAGATAAGTAAAATGTTATTTTATGAACTCAGCATTTCAGAGAGATTTTTGATTTGCTGAACACTTTTCTGAAGTATTTATGTTAGTCCACTGATTTTGTTCACATCACATGGAGAAAACTTTATGTGGTATATCATACTTTGATTTCTTATACATAATTAAATTTGGTAGGACTATCGTCCAAACGTGGAGTTGATACTGAAAGATTTACTTTGGATTACATTGATAAAATAGAGTTTGTAAAATGAAGATGTTTTCAAAATCTAAGGAATAACCAAAACTAACTAATAAGTTAGGAACCAAGGAATAAAAATAACTAAGGAATAAAAAAACTAACTAATCTTCCACTTCTTATCTATGTTATTTTTTTGAAAGTGAGTCAACCAGCCATTGCATAAGCAGGTTACAGAATTTCCTTTGTTGTTACTACAAAAATTTAAATCATTTAACAATAACTTCTGTGTTTAGAGTTATGCATATTTAACCTTCAGAAAAATGTTTTCTTAAGCTTCCCTGTACAGAAATTAGTGAGCTAGGGCATGTTCAGATTATAGTATGATCTGAAGTCCTGCATTCTTTTTTTGCCTCTAGCTAGTCTCAGATAATTCTTCAGCTTCGCAATCAAGCTGATAACACTTAGAAGAAACAAAGTAAAGCCACTCCTTTTCAGTCTTACCACTCATTTTGTACCACAAACTGGAAAAATAACACTTATTTACAGTACTCACTTTTTATTTCAAGAACATCATACCCTAAGGGTCTGCACTTCAGTATGAAAAAAATGGGATGAGGTATTATGTACAAATACTTAACGTGATTTTTAAAACGTGTAACAGCTTTAGTTTGATTTACTGATCCCAGCTGTCTAAAATCTTGACAGATTTATCAAACTGATGATTTTCTTCTCAGTACTGGCAAATCCTGTTGCGTGCTGAGAGCCAGTATGAACTAAGTTCTCCCCAAACCCCAAACATCTACTGTAGAATCCAAAGGAAAGGACTTGGACAATGTATTGACTTTGCTTGCATAGAACAAATTCTGAAAATTTTTGGTACAGTTTCGATCAACACAGACATAATTTGATGATTATTTACTTAAAAATGAGGACTAACTGTGGCCATCAGAACACTGGCCACAAATACTGTAAATAACAGTACAGGTTATTTCAGCTACTCTTCTCACAGTGAACACATCTTATTAACACTGTATTTACTATCAATACATACTCAGAATTTAATTTGAACTCCTAAATGTCTACATAAATTTAGCTGCTTGCAAAACAGTCTTTCTCTCCTTAGGATTCAGAAAATTCAGATTACCCAATGTATCTAAGCCCTTATTTTTATAAGAAGCAGATGTCCATGATGATGGATGTTCCTGACAAGCTTTAAGAAGCCTGTGCACTTCTGTAGTAGTTCGCCATTATGCTGTGATAAGTTTCCATTAGGAATTGCCATAGGAATGTGTTTTTTCTACTTTGAATTTGGCAATATTCTGAATAAAATAGACCTTTCCTAGTATTCTTGAGAAGGAAGTAGATACAGTTAAGGAAATAACTCCAGGAAAGTAGAACTCTTTCATTTGTATTTCATGTTACCCTTCTCTAAAATTAGGCAGCTAAATTAAGTAGATGACGAAGCTTTACTGAATTCCATAAATTCAGTATCAGTCAGTTAGTCAAACCAGAGTCTCAGAAAGACACTGAAAATACTCCCAAAAAGCCATAAAATATACCAAATTCCATGGTATCTGGAAAATTCTTTAGGGCCTTAGGAGTACTTAGTGTGTTTTCTGGTAGGTATTCTTCAGGTTTTTTGCCTTTTAATTCTGGAATGTTCATCCTTCATCACTGTATTTTATATTCATCTATTATTAAATATAATAAACATCAGAAGACATTTACATTCCATTGTCTCTTATTTCAGCTATGTGAATGTATTGTGGAGTTCATGAAACCATACAGGATTTTTTATATAACTACATCAGAGCTTCAGAATCAAGTTTTATATTCTGACAACATTAGAAATAAAAATAATTTTGAATGCTATGGAAAATCACCCATGCCACCTACAGCAAATCATCTTCAAAGAAACGGCAGCATCATAATAAATTTCCTAAGATGTACATACATTATTAAATGATGAAGACTAATATTAAGCCCCTCCATGTTATTAAAGAAATAATAAGTGGAAAAATATTTTTTTTTGTTTGTGACTAGGACAGACTGGAAGGGAAATCCTCATTCAACTCAAATGAAAAGGATCCACATATTTAACTTGATCTACAACTTAATTAAACACATCTTAAATGGATACTGAAGCATATACAATGTGATGATGTTAAGTCAGCCATTTGGCTGAGTTTTATCCAGTCATCTTTCCAGTTGACTACTAACATGAATTATATCTGCACAAGTCACATGAATCACACCAGCAGGAAGTCTGAATGTAATTGTCCTCCTCACATTGCCTATAGGCTCCTGTGTTTGTGCAATTCAATTAGTTTTCTCCAGATATTTTTCTTCTCCCTGCAGCAGCATTTGCAGAGCACACTGCTGTCCATACAGCTCTGTCAGTGCATGCTCATGGTTCGTTAGCTTGGGATTGAGTAAAAGAGAACACCTAGCAAGACCTTCTGCAAATAGACAGATAGAAAATAGTTATTAGATGACATCACACCAGTATGACATGGCTCTTTTTCCAAAATGCAAAGATAAGCATTGTGAAAAAACCCTTTTAAATAGAGAAGTATGTTTTTTCTGCTTTGTAATAATTAAACTGGATAAAATTGTGACAATCTGGTTACAAAAGTGGTCAGGTGTGCACTGCAGGTGGGGTAGCCAATTGCTCTTCGTGTTAGCAAAATCTCAAGGATTGTTGTGATGGAGCAGTTAAAAGTTTTAATTTTGGGAATCGGAGTAGCAATCGTGACAATGTTTCCAGGGTCAAAGTGACCAATAGTATTTTTGTATTTGTTCATTTGGACCTTCTAAGAACCCTTATCTGAATGAAGCATTTTTCTTTGCCTCACAATTAATCAACCAAAAAACGGAAAATATTCATGCAAATTCAATTAGTTTAGCCCAATCATATGGGTATGACAGCAAAATACATATTCAGTCACAGGGCACCTTACAGGAATCATTGTTGTCTGTTAGTAATTTGAGGACTGGCCTGTTTCAGTAACAACCTAATAACTTCCAAGGTTCTGGTCTTTGTTAAGAATTTCTTAATAGGTATGTGAAATACAGGCAGTTTCAAATCTCAGTTACATGATCAGAGACCAATAACAGCCAAAAAAAAAGGAAAAAAAAAAGCAAGGCATTCGTCACTCATAACGTTATTTTAAGTGCCATGCAAGAGAAATAAAATTTCTTGCAGACTGGGAGACTTAATGTACTTTCTGAGAATTTCTTGTTTGATTCATATTAAAAAAAATGAGGAAAAATATAAGGAAAACTTCAGCACTGGTCAGCAGCACCACTGCATTGGATCCTTGAAGAGCTTTAAAAATGTTATATGTATGTACATGATAATAGCAAGAATACTTGGTATCTATGAGCATTTCCACAAACTTCCACAATCCTGTCCCTCTTCTCAGCCCTGATGAGGCCTCACCTGGAGTGTTGTGTACAGTTCTGTGCTCCTCAGTACAAGAGCAGCGTGGAGGTCCTGGACAGAGCCCAATAGAGGGCTACAAAGGTGATTAAGGGACTGGAGCAACTGTCTTACGAAGAAAGGCTGAGGAAACTGGGCCTGTTTAGCCTGGAGAAGAGACAACCGAGAGGGGAACCTAATCAATGCACACAAGTAACTGAAAGGAAGGTGTCAAGAGGACAGAGCCAGGCTCTGCTCGGTGGTGCCAAGCAACAGGATGAAAGGCAATGCGCAGAAACTAAAACACAGGAAGTTCAAACTGAACACGAGGAAGAACTTCCTTACTGTGAAGGTGACCGGGCACAGGTGCTGCCCTGAGAAGCCGTGCAGTCTCCCTCACTGGCGATATTCAAAAGCCGGCTGGACAGAATCCTAATGTGCTTAAGCCGTGGGGCTGGAGTAGACGACGCCACCGGTGGTCACTTCCAGCCTTACCATCCTGTGATTTTGTGATTTAAAAGTATGACTGGAGCAATTCTTAAAGCAATACTAAAACAGAGTTAGCCAAGGCATGTCCGATGCCTTAATTGAAGTTTAACTGCAGACCTTTATGAGCAAAAGGTAAAACAGCAACCAACAAGTGCGCTTTAACAAAGACGGCAGAAATTACTGTTTCTATTAAATTCGCGTGTGTTGCTGGGGCTGCAAACGGTGAATACCATGCTGGCGACCGCTGGGAAAGAAATGCCCAAACAGAGAGAGAAGCCTTAAACAAAGAGGGTCCGGGAGATGATCCGGTAACTTCACTACAAGGTTCGACTGCAGAGAATAAGAGCGGGGCACACGACACGCGTGTCCCCTGTTCCCAGGAAGGGGAGAAGGATTATGGTCCCGGGTAGCCACACGGGGCGCCCGTGCCAGGGCAGGAAGAGGTACTTTGGCCGCTTCCCCCACAGCCACCCCGGGGCCGCCCTCTGCCTGGAGCCGCTGGCGGGCCTGCACCCGCCTCCTGCCGCCAGGGCCGGGAACGCGGGCAGGCCGGGGCGGCGGCACAGGAGAGCGGAGGAGCAGCGGCAGAGCGGGCCGGGGCCGCCATGGTGCTGGTGGTGGTGATAGGCGTGAGCGGCTCGGGAAAGTAGGTATCAGGCAGGCGGCGGGGCAGAGAGACGGATGCCCCGGCCGGGGCTCGGGGCTGCTGGAGCCCGGCCGTTTGGGTGCGGACGCGGGTGGGGCGGTCCGCAGCTCACGCCGGCGGTGCGTAACCCGCCTTTTGTGCTTCCCCGCAGGACCACGGTGGGCTCCCGCCTGGCAGCGAAGGTAGGACCATCCCGCACCGCGTGTGGGCCGTCCTCCACGGGGGCGGAGCGGGCGGGCACCGCCCTGCGGCCGCTAGTGCAGTGTCGCTTACACTGCCTTCAGCTCAGTGCCGTGATGCAATAGCTGTTGGTGCTGCCGAGCCGATTTAGTATTGTTTTGCTAATCATCGTGGCATAACCGATGATTCACACCGTGATGTAAGAAGCGTGTAATTTCTTAGGTGTCGTCTTTGTGAATTCAGTGATCCTTATTATCTCCCTTGATATGGCTGAAAGACCCATAATGTATGTATTTTTTTCTTAGCTGGGATGGAAATTCTATGATGCAGACAATTATCATTCTCTAGAGAATAAAAAGAAAATGGCAGGAGGAACACCACTAAATGATGAGGTACCTTATATAAACCCTGTAAGAACTGTCATCTGCGCTTTATCTCTGTAACCTCGTGCACGTCCTGTTAAAGTAGATGATGCTTTTACTGTGTAGACTGGTCTGACAAGCACAGGTCTGCATTTGGTAAGGCGGGGGAGGCTTCTTGTGTTACAGAGAATTCTGGCTAAACAAGTAGCTTATCAAAGCATGCTTGGCAGATCGCAAGGGGTATGCTGCTGTTTCAGAATTTGTCAGACATCTCTCCCTCTACATCCATGCACAGAGTTGCATTTTTGGATTAGAATCATAGAATCTTAGAATATCCTGAGTTGGAAGGGACCACAAGAATCATAGAGTTCCTGGCCCTACACAAGACAACTCCATAAATTTGTTACCCTTCTCTCAAGTCACTTTCCACCATTTATCACCACTCGTGGTTGACTGGGGAGGTCCCAGATGATTGAAGGTTAGCTAATGTGATGCCCAGCTAAAAAAGAAGGGCCAGAAGGAGGATCCAGGGAATTGTAGGCATGTAAGCCTGGCCTCAGTGTTGGGTAAGGTTGTGGAACAGATTATCTTGAGTGCAATCCCAAGGTGTGTGAAGGACAATCAGGTGTTCAGCTCCAGCCAGCATAGGTTTAGGAAAGGCAGGTCCTGCTTGAGCAACCTGATTTCCTTCTATGACCCACCTAGTAGATAAAGGAAAGGTTGTGGATATTGTCTACCTGGATTTTAGTAAAGCCTCTGATGCCATTTCCCAAAGCATTCTCCTGGAGAAACTGGCTTCCCATGTCTGGGTTAAAAACTGGCTGGATTTATCTGAAAAAAATTCTCTAGATTCTTTTTAAAAGCTTCATTCTTTCACTGGTGTTTGGAAGCCTGTATGTTGTCTGAAGCAGCATTGCACACTTGAATGAGTAAATCATTGGTACATGCTGCCCAGCAAGAGCGAAGCATCTCTTCTGAAAAACCAGAGGTGTAAAATTGTGAGGGTCTTCTTAAATGCCAGGGGTAAGTTACTCTGTAATGTCAGCAACAAAATATTGTTGCATTTATTTGTCCATGTTATCATTTGTTGTGCTCACCCAGCAATAACAGCACTGAAAGATTTACATGGGAGCAGTTGTTTTGTGCTCATTAGGCATGACAAAAGTTTGTGGAAACTTAAAATTTCAGATTAAAGAAACAGCTGATCAATCACTCATGTTGTAATTGTCTAACTACTGAGCAAAAGTGTTGAAAAATTGTGGCTATGATTACATTTATTTGTGATTGCTACCAACATAAATAGAACTAAGTTATTGAAGATAATTAGATTTAGATCTGTCTGTTCCTGAAAACCTCAACTTTGGTCCAAAATGGGGGGGGGGGAGCTGTATGACACTATATAAGGGAAAAGAAATAACAATTTAAGCTGTACATTTGAATTGTATAATAGAAGCAAGAGAGAAGTTGACTGTCCTTTAGAGGTTTGCAAGGTGCATGCTATGCTTGAGTACATATTAACTTCCATCATCTACTTGTAGATACCTTTAATATAAAAAGTTCTATTTCACTAAAAGCATCTTATTGATAATATGCCTAGCACTTCTTATTAGCCTTGAGGCGGTGCTAGCAAATCTACATAGGAAGAAAGAGATTCAAAACTGAACTTGCTGTACAATTTAGTGGTAATTTTCATCTGTAGTCAAATGTTCGAGATGTTAGAAGCAATCATTTCAAATTAATTTCATAAAGAATTTTGAACTAACTTGTTTTCTTTCTAGGACAGGATTCCTTGGCTTTGTACATTGCACAATATACTAAGGAGGTAAGAGAATATCTAGCTTTAAAAAGTTTTAGCTAAAGACAGAAAAAGTACCAGAAGTGTTTTTCCTCATTGCATTCCAAAGCAGAAATGTATGTAGTAGTGTAAAGACTTTCTGCAGGTAGTAAAGTCATTCTGTTTTGACTAATCTAAGCTGTCATAAGAATTGCTGAGCGTGAGCTAATCCCTGAGTAATAGTATGGGAAATTGTTGCCAATGATAGTTGTTTTTCTACTATCTGGGTAAAAATAATTTCAAGGATCCAGTTCGTTAATAAGCCTGACATTAGCTTACAAAGAACATAATCACAAAATACATCAATAATAACAGTAGGATAAAATACAGCTATTTTGAGTAAGATATAGTATTGAGCTTTTTTGACGCTGCTTGAGTTTCCTGGAGTATACTCTGCAAATTTGCAGATGACACCAAAATGGGAGGACTAACTGATGCAGAGAGACCTTGAAAGGCTGTAGAAATGGGCTGGCAGGAACCTCATGCATTTTAAGCAGTGCAAGTCCTGCCCCTGGGGAGGAACAAGCCCAGGCACTGGTACAGACACTGAGGGGCACTCAGCTGTAAAGCAGCAGCAAAGGGCCTGAGGGAGCTGTGGTGGACACCAAAGTTGAACATATGCCAACAATGTGCTCTTCTGGCAAGGCAGGCAATGATATCCAAGGGTATATTAGACAAAGTATTGTTAGTAGGTCAAGGGAGGTGATCCTTCCCCTCTCCTTTTCACTGGTGAGGCCACACTTGGCCTCGTGTGTGTCGGTTCTGGGCTCCTCATTGTGAGAGAGGCATGGACATACTGGAGAGCATCCAACAATGATGAAGGGACTGGAGCATCTCCCAAATGATGAAAGGCTGGGAGAGCAGGGACTGTTTAGCTGGGCTTTACACAGTGGCTGTTGCTTGTGCACATTAGGTGAGCATACCTCACTGGAGCACAGGTTAATTCACTGAGAAATTTGTCTGGATTGATTTGCTGGATTCATTGCTTTATGTTACGTGCTAGCCCAATGCCACTGCTCAGCTATGGAAACTTTGCAAAATCAAGTGTACTTTAAAAGAGCCTAATGCCAATGTTTAATTATTACTACTAGTAACTAGATGAGGCTGGCATTGGCTTACCTAGGCGATAATGGTAGGTATTAAAAGTTCTTACTTCCCTTTGAACCTAAATCTAATGACCATGGAATGATTTTTAAATAGGTTTATACCTAATGTTTATTACAGAATATATTTTCTTAGGCAGGCATTTTACTCACTCTGCATAGAGACAACTAATTCTGGATTTGCTTTTCAGTGGAACAGACAGACCCATAGTTAATTGCTTTATTTTAAGAAACCTTGCCAGTAAAAAATACACGTGCAAAGCATCCATTGACCTGCATCCGATCTCTTGTTTAACCTGAAATGGGCTTATATGTAGTGCTGCCAATGAGGATGGTTACAGGAAACATAAAATAAAATATTACAGTTAAATCTGAGACGGTGAAAACAGGTGTTGAAAATAAACCTGCATGTGTATTTAAGAACAGTGCTCTGTACTGTTCATCAGCCACTTACCTCTAGACAGGTTAGTATAGTAATTTATAGATAACAGTTAGGGATTTGTATGGATAGTCAATTCCTATTCTTAGCAATTAAGAAATGATCCTGACACTTCCTTATGCTAGAATTTAATTTAATTTGGGGAAGAATGGTGGCTAATAAACAAGGTCCCTAAGACTGAGATTTTACCAGGAGGCTGGCTGGCCTGACTTCATTTTCAAATCACATCTTTACCTGGATTGAAAATTTGGTTTCAAAATCCTATCAGAATTACTCAAATACCACTGTCAATATGCCATTACTGCCATGGCTGTCCTCTTTGAGGAGCCAGGGCTCGTTTATCTTGTTCAGCAGAACTAACAAGCCATTTTGTTAAACTACATGTGAATATGTAAAGATTTTTGCTTTTTTTCTTTTTGATAGAGAAGACTCATCTAGACAAGATGCAATTCTGGCCTGTTCTGCACTGAAGAAGATGTATAGGCATATATTAGTTAATGGAGCATCTGCAATTGAGACAGAGCAACCAGAAGAAAAACCATCACTAAAGATCCTCTTTGTTCATTTGGATGGGCCTATAGACATCATTGCTGGTCGCCTGGAGAAGCGGAGAGGTCATTTTATGCCACCTGAACTTCTCAAGTCTCAGTTTGATACTCTAGAGCCTCCTAGTGCACCTGAGAACTTCATTACTGTCAGTCTAGAAAAACCTCTCCCTGAAATAGTGCTAGAGATTGAGAGCGCCATTCTTCAGGGTGAGGCATTGGTGGAGTAATTTTCTGAATGACACATATAGAAATTCCCTTGATGATATCAAGGTTATGAAAGAGGATTTTAATTATTAAATTGATTATTAAATCAAACCAATTTATTATTCATTATACTTAAATGGATTGCAATATTAAGAGCTGGTTTACTACTCTTGGGTTTTTTTCATCGTGGCTCTGTAAAAGACATAAAAGGTATAATTTTCAAGAACTTTCAACTTTTTAAACCCCTCACTATATGAAGCCAAAACTCCCATTTTAGTAAGAACCCTAAAATGGAAGTCAACACTCCCATTTTAGCAAAATCCTGCCAAGATCACAAAGAATAATTTATTTTCTTAATTTTAATGTTTACTCTGTCAGACATGGAGATGGGCACATCTGCTATTAGGAGATTAAGTAATTTACAGCTTTGCCAGAAACAATATATTTTTCTGGAAGAGACAGGAACATGCATGATGTTCCTACACTACCACTGTCTCACTGCCAGATTTTCAACAAGTTGCAGCCTCTGCATTTGTGACCTTGCCGACCTCACCAGAGCACTGATGATGTCATGAGCTCTTACTGTATGCACTGAACATGAAGCTAAAAAATGTGAGACAAAAAAAGGCAGTGGTGGTAACACAATATACAAAATACAATTGTATGGACAGCTTTGGAAATAAAGTATAAGTGGCATCATGCTGGCTCTGAACTTGCATCTTTAATGTACAAAGTGTACACATTGAATTTGAGTGTGAATCAACCAGTGATCTAAGGTACTGAATGCAAGATTGATAGATTTATTTTTTTTTTAGAAAACTTTCTCCTTCATAGTTGGACCTTCTCCTTCACTTCCCTTTTCTGGTGGGCTTTAGTCTTCCATCTCAGCCCACGTCCATAAATCTGCTTTAAAGCTGTAGGTCACACTATTCCTAACATACATTTTTCACACCTTTTTTGTGATCAGAAAATTCCAAATATCCAGTCACCTAGCTCACAGAATTTAAGGTTAAAATCCTTTTTTATTGCTGAAATATTTTTTAAAAAGTACTTTATGTCATGTTACACAACAGGTGCCTTTTTAGCTTAACTAAATGAAATCTTCAGATAGTTTCTGTGAGAAAGATTTGAGTTTTTTCTGAATGGAGACATCCCCATGTGCTGTCAGATGTGGATTACTTTTAGTGTGTCATGCAATTTTTTTTATTCCTAGGAGGATGGATGAACTCCTCTAGAAGCAAACTGGTGTTTCAAAGCATCTTTAGTGTCATTTTTACTTGGATAACTAGTTGAAAAATGTTTGTCTTGGTTCTCACTGTGTCTAAAAATAATAAGGGCTTTGTGGTTTACTAGACAAACTACTGTGCTTAAATCACAGTGCAATAAATGGGCATTATCCTCCTGAAAGTGGCCATTTTTAGACACAGAATTGGGATTGTAGGCATTAATGCACACACCCAGAAGTGGTCTTTCCCTGTTTGTTTGTGACCTGAAGGGAGAGAGAGAATACCAGACAGTTACCAGTTTTAGTCTGCTGTTGTAACTACAGCTTGCTCTCAGATCAGTCTGTTTGTTCTGAGAGCCAATGTGCAAGTTTAAGACACAGAGACAAAGTTAAGTACAAGAGACAGGCATGTGTGTCTGCTTCTTAACACCCTCAAATTTCAGACCCCTTCAGACTAAGTGACTTGTCAGAACTGTACAAGTTTAGTAGCAATGAAAATCACAGAAACGGCACCCTCTTGCGGCACCTCTCCTTTTAATGAGGTCTTCATCTTCAGCCAGTACACCATTTTACAAACAAAGAGCTTACCTAATGTACCCATTATTAACTATAGATTTATGCACACTTTTTTCAGACACAATAAAACCAGATCAGGACACTATACAACCATAGAAAAGCAGCTACATCCTGCCATGCATAGATACAATGAAACCTTTAAATAATTTTTTTTAAAATGGGCAACACTTTCAAGTGTGAGTTCTGAGAAGGCAAGACTCTAATTTTAAGATCAAGTTGTCAGCATTTATAGAATGCTCACAAAGTGACTGTCACCAACAGAATATTGTACTCAACTGTTAAAGACCATTCTCTTTTAGGGAATGTTATGTAAGCATCTTGGGTTTTGTAAGTCTTCTTGTAAGTATGTTTGTACTTACAGGCAGTTTATGCTTCTTCAAATTAGGTCAGGGTATTTCTCACTCTTTCCTTCTATGCTGCGAATATTTCCTTCCCTTAACCTTTTAATATATTTGCATTTTGCTTTTACTTAAAGGTACTGCATAGAAGGTTGTTGTGAATTTAATTGGTTAAGTAGTCTGTTACCTGCTATTCTGAAAGACAACAAAGCATTACTTCTGTTCACTTATATCCTGTGCATCCCAAATTAAAGATTAAGATGTGAATTATCCCAATAGGAACCACATAAAACTACTCTCAGATGTTAATGAAGCTGTGAATATGTACACTAGAAGAAAAAGCAGAACAATCCCTGCCCAAACACAATCCTACACCATTTCATTTACTTGTTGGGTTTTGTTTGGGGTTTTTTGTTGCTGGCGAGGGGGGCAGTTCTTGGGGGGTTTTTTGTTTTTTAAATGAACTTAACACTATATTAGGGATGTTGTATTCAGGTTAGTTGTGGAGGTTATTATATTTAGCAGAGCTTATCTGGATGCAAGTGCTCTGTCCGTTTTTTGAAATATATTTAGCAAATGCAAGAAAAACTGGGGAGGAAACGCCTGGAGTTAGAAATTGCTTTTTCTGTCTCTGAGCACGAAGCATCTATGGAAGATACACATACTATACGTCCTCAAGAATTTGTGCTAAGCACTGTTTATAACATGCTGTGTAAATATTGTACCTACTACAGCACAGACATTTTTCAATGCCAAAATGAGGAAATGAAATGGTATGTATCCCAATGGCAGTATGCATTTATACATTAAACATAGGGAGGGTAGAGTCTTACTAAACTGCACAAGTTATACACGCAAAAGGAACAGACCAAGTGCCTGCCACCGTAGCCCTAAATTGAGATGTCATTTTATTATTTTTTTATTAATAATATTTACTTTATTATGCAGCCTCTGAACCAAGATGAGAATTAGGTAGACCACATCCTTTACCAAACTAGCCATCTTGCTGTCGCATTCCCAATAGTGTTTCACTTGAATATACGCATTTAAAATCTTCTAAATTACATCTGCCAGTCACACTACTGTGACTTTTAGATTTTTTTCTTTTTCCAGCAGTTACTTTCTCTAGCAATAGTTTGATGATCAGGCAAGGCAGTTTTGCAGACAATCTTGTCAGGTGACTTGGTCCAATGTAGGGGAAAACAAGAAAGTAGGAAAATAAAGAAACAACCTGCAGGCACACATGCCTCTCTGGTCCAAAATGCAAGCTGCAGATTTAAAATACAAGTTATCAAAATGCTCGGAGTTAATGATAAGATTGCTTCTGAAAGAAGAAGTAGATGATAACTGTGAAGAGAGAATTTTAAGGACGGACAGAAAAAGGGGCAACAGGGAGGGGGGCACAAACAGGAACATTGTAATATGCTATTAAACCAGTTAAGTGTGGGTTTTCTTTTATTATTAAAGATGTCGTGAAAACTCTACCTATAAACCTTGTTCTGTTTGCTGTTTTCTGACAAAACTAAAATTTTTACTATGCAAAAAATGGCTCAGTGTTCTACCACTACTTACCAGAAACTTAGTAACTGTTATTAGTTGACAACAGTTACTGATAAATATTGACTCTACTTCAAGTAAGCTTAGCTGAAGGCTCAGTGTAGAATTTAGGTCCAACTTCATCTCTTGATGAATTGCAATGAAATTGTATTTCAAATTTAGCGTCTCTTAATTTATAACATGCAACAGAAATATTTACATAGGTGAGCTGAATGTTGTCTCAAGAAAGTTGGTTAGTAGCGTCTTGGTAAAAACTTTTTCATCCCCACCTCACCCTCACCCTTTCATCTGACAGTAGCCTTTTTTGATGTTATGAATTATATTCTCAAAACGACCTGCCTAATGAACGATGAGGGAGTCCTAACTTTTTTAAAGCAAAGTCCCAGTAAGGGACACTATAAAGTCAACTCAAATTAGCTTCTTTGAAGATTCTAATAAATAGTCATTGTGAAAACAACTCTAAAAAGGTAGTGATTATTCTACAGAAACGACTTGCTATCTATCCATTCCTTTTCAGAGGGTCCTGTAACCTCCCTCTGCCATGCTGAAGGGAGTAGGTCAGAAGGAAGGGTGAAGTCCTAATGTATAAAGGCCAGTCCTTGCCTGGGACAACAAGACCCCTTCTTGCCCACCTCACCCTCCCAGGTGCCTCTGCATGATAGGTATGGGGCTCTGGATGCGGAAGGTCAGTCAATGGATGATAAAGATGATGGTGCCTCTCCACCACAGATGTTACCAAGGCCAGAAAGACCTACACCTCGTATCAAGACCAGTCCCACATGGAAGAAAAGAAGGATTAAAGGATTACAGTGGCAGATGGTTCCCTTCTAAAGGGAATGGAAGGTCCAATATGCTGGAAAGAGACTCCCCTCAGGGATGTCTGCTACTTCCCTGGGGCACACGTCAGGGACTTCCTAGCCTAGTAAAGTGCTCAAACTATTCCCCATTGCTGATCCTCCATATGGGTGGTGACAAACTCACAACATGTAATCCAAAGGCCATGAAAAGAGACTTCAAGGTCTTGGGATGATTGGTGAGGGAATCTGTTCTTCCACGTGCAGATAGTGACTGAAAGAAACATATGGATCCAGTCTACTAATACATGGTTCTGTGGCTGGTGTCCCTTCCAAAATTTTTGTTTGTTTGATAATGGGATGGCCTACATGGCACCAGATTTTGCTGGCATCAGATAGGATCAGAGGCATCACCTCTCAAAAGGAGAGGGTCTTTGGTCAGGGGCTAGCGGGGCTCATTGTTATGGCTTTAAAATAGATATAATGGGAGGGATATCATCAGGTTTAACAGTGATAAGGTGTCAGATGACTTGCCATCCCACTTACATCAGTTAGATGCCAGAGCCAGCAAGAGATGCCCAGATCCTGGAGAGGGACTGCAGGTCAGCAGGAGAGCACCTGAAGGATAGCACAAGGGAATTCCAGGGACTCCAGACAGAAAGTCACCTTCATGGGGGGCCCAATTTAAATGCCTCCATGCTAATACATGCAGCATGGGGGATAAACTAGAGATGTGTGCATGCCTGCACAGCAATGATCTTATTGGCGTCTGGAAACACAGTAGAAACTCCTATGACTGCAGTACGCTGGAATGCAAGGATAGTCTCTTTAGGAAGGACAGGCAGGGGAGACCAGGAGGAGGTGTTGAGCTGTCTGCCGATGACCAGCTAGAGTGCATGGAGCTCCACCTTGGGAAGGACTGGGGAAGAGCTGACTTAGAGCTTATGGGTCAGGATTAAAGGGAGGGCAAGCACAGGCCTGCTACAGGCCACCTGACCAGGAAGATCAAGCTGATGAGGCTCTCTAGCAGACAGGACCAGCCTCACATTCAGAAACTCTGGTCCTCCTGGGGGACTTCAGCCACTCTGACATCTGTGTGGAGGACCAGGCATAAGACATGAAAGCATGTTTTCTCTCAAACATTCTGACTGTTGCAACAGGAGAGTTGTGATTGGAAGAGAGGGCCCCGCATCGGTCTGCTGCTGTAGATGGTACAAGTCAG